GCGCCCGGCTATTCACCTAGTTTTATAGATAAAGATTAAAAATAAAGTGTGTACAGTGCACAACACAGGCTCTAGCATGCAATAGGTACTTAATAAATAGTTGTGACTTTGCCACCTCTGAACGCTCCCAGGAGTGAGCCTCTGTTCCCCCAGATACTGCAGTAGCAGTCAGCCGCCCCCTGCCCCGAACAATCATATATCTGGGCTGACCCAGGGGCAGTTACCATGGGGTCTCTGGGCAGTGGGTGAAAAGGGAGGGCTGGCAGTTGCAGGGGAGGGGACATGTGAGACGTGTGAATGGAGGTGGCCCAAGCCCTCTGTCCCTCCCTGCCCCACCTAGGCCTTCTGCTTAGCATACAGGCCACGGGGGCCAGGGCGCCCTCCATCAACCTCCCCAGCTTTTCCTTCATGCATGTTGATGGCTGCTCTGGGGGTGGGCTCTGTCTCAGGACCCAGTGGTGACTACCTAGCTCTGCCCCCAGATCCTGCGGGACACCTTCTCTGAGTCCTGTATCCGGATTTCCCAGGATGAGCGACAGAAAATGAAAGACCTGCTGGGTATGGGTCCAGGGACCGTGGAGTTGGGAGCTTGAGTGCTGGGGGCTGTGCCTGCCCTGAAGGAGGGAGCAGCATGGGAGCAAACTCTAGAGCTCCCTCTGTGTGAGCAGAGGACAGCCTGGGTCCTTCCTGCCCACAGGAGACTTGGAGGTGGACCTGGATTCTCTCACCACCACTGAAGACGGCGTCAAGAAGCGCATCGTGGTGGCTGCTCGGGACAACTGGGCCAATTACTTCTCCCGCTTCTTTCCTGTCTCGGTCAGTGGCGCTGGGGTAGGGAGTTGGGATGCCAGGCCCCCAGCCTGGATCCTGGGGTGCATGGGCACGGACCCTCCACAAGCAGGAGAGCTGGGGGGCAGGCGCCAGGGGAAGGACAAAGCCCAGCCACCGGCCCTGGGCAGCTCCAGGGCATCTTGGGCAGTAGCAGGACCCAAGAGCCTGCCTGAGACCCACCACCTTCCTGTAGGGTGAGAGTGGCAGCGACGTGCAGCTGCTAGCCGTGTCCCACCGCGGGCTGCGACTGCTCAAGGTGACCCAAGCCTCCAGCCTCCGCCCACACCAGCTGAAGATTCTCTGCTCATACAGGTGTGCTGGCCCACGACCCTGGGCTAGAGGTGGGGGCAGGTGGCAAGGTGACCCCAGCTCATGCCCGGCCCCTGCGCAGCTTCGCAGAGGTGCTGGGTGTGGAGTGCCGGGGCAGCTCCACCCTGCAGCTGTCGTTGAAGAGCGAGCAGCTGGTGTTGCACACAGCCCGGGCAAGGGCCATCGAGGCGCTGGTTAAGCTGTTCCTCAGTGAGCTTAAGAAGGCAAGTGTGGGGTGCGGGTTGGGAGGCCGGGCGGACAGCCCTCACCGATGCTGCATCTCCCCGTCCGTCTTCCCTGTGGGGGCAGGGGCTGGGAGTTTGGGCTAAATCCCTGGAAGTCTGGGGTGCTAGGTGGAGGGGGAGGCCAGCAGGGGGAGCAGGTGGGAAGGCAGGACAGGGAGGCGCAGGCAGGCTCCCTGCTCCAGGCCCTCACCCGCTTGCCCGCAGGACTCTGGCTATGTCATCGCCCTGCGCAGCTACATCACTGACAACTGCAGCCTCCTCAGCTTCCACCGTGGGGACCTCATCAAGCTGCTGCCGGTGGCCACCCTGGAGCCAGGTATCGCCACAGGCCGGCAGGGGCTCACACAGGGAGGGCATCCACTTGGCAGAGGCTGCCTAGGGGCGGAAGGTCCGGCGGGTGAGCCACATCCCTGGGTGCCTTCCAGGCTGGCAGTTTGGCTCTGCCGGGGGCCGTTCCGGACTCTTTCCTGCGGACATAGTGCAGCCGGCTGCCGCTCCCGACTTTTCCTTCTCCAAGGAGCAGAGGAGTGGCTGGCACAAGGGTCAGCTGTCCAACGGGGAACTAGGGCTGGCTCGGTGGGACAGGGCCTCAGAGGTGAGGAAGATGGCAGAAGGAGAACCACAGGCAAGGCCTGCCTGAGACTGAGGAAGGAAAGGGGTTTGACCGCTCCCGAGGCTGCCATGCAGTGGGACCACCCTGCTGTCCGTCTCCTGTGGCTGCCCCTCTGCCCCCTCCTGATGGCTCGCCTTGTCTCTCCAGCAAGACTGTGCACTCCTTGCAGGCAGGGCAGGGCAGGGCGGGGCTGGGCGCTGCTCTTGGGTCCCTGTGGCACTTAGTTCAATGCTGCCCTAGCAGATGCTTAATAAACAGCTCTTCACTTTCCTGGCTTCCGGTCTTGCTCCTTTGGTGTCTGGCTGGGGAGGCATGGGGCTGGGGCAGGACCCCTGGGACAGGGCACTGGACACTCAGGTGGCACCAGGTTTCTTGTGCTCCCAGCGCCCTGCCCACCCTTGGAGCCAGGCACACAGTGACGACTCGGAGGCCACCAGCCTGCCCTCCTCTGTGTCCTATGCCTCTCTGTCCACCGACTCCCACAACTACACCATGCAGGAATTCGCCCTGCGTTACTTCCGGAAGTCCCAGGCCTTGTGAGTGCACTGGGCCGACCCCTGTGCCTGTCTATCCTCAGTCTTCCCAAGAGAACGTGCCCTGCTCTGAACCACTAGGCTGTGCTCTTAGCCCAGCCTGGCTGGCTGGGATGAGGGCAGGAGGGCCAAACAAGCTGGGCTGTCTCCCCCTGCCCCCCACAGGCCGGGCCAGACAGATGGAGGTGCTACAGGGAAGGACACAGACAGCCTGGTGCAGTACACCAAGGTGAGGGAGAGGCAGGGAGGTATCTGGCCCATGGATCTGCCCTCTGACCCCCGCAGCCCCCAGACCCACAGCCTCCTCTCTTTGGCCACAGGCTCCCATTCAGGAGTCGCTCCTCAGCCTCAGTGATGACGTGAACAAGCTGGCTGTGGCCAGCTTCCTGGGTGAGTGGCCATGGGCATCCTGGGTCCCCATGTCTGCAGTGCCATGGACCTGGGTGTCTGGTCCCTTTATCTCCTTGAGCTCTGCCTGGCTCCATCCCAGTCTGCCAACTCCGGGAAGCTCACTGGTGGCCCCTGGACTCCAGGGCCCTCACCGCCTACTACTCCCACCCAAGGGTTGTGGGTTGTGTGGAGTCTGGGGTTGGAAGACAGTCCATGGGTCCAGAGGATGCTATGTGCTGTGTGGGGCCTTGGGTACCCAGGAGCCTCAGTCTCCCCATGGGTCAAGCTGCAACCAGCTGCCCTGGCTGGCATCCATGCATTTTGAGAGTGAGGCATCAGATGGCAGGTGAAGGCCCTGCACAGCAACAGCATGAGCCGGGGCCAGCCCCAGCACAGCCCCAACTGTGTGCCCTGTTTCTTATCCTGCCTGCAGCCCTGATGCGGTTTATGGGTGACCAGTCCAAGCCCCGGGGCAAGGATGAGATGGATCTGCTCTATGAACTGCTAAAGGTAAGCCTGGGCTGTGTGACGCCCAGCACCTGTGCCTGTCCTCCTGTCTGGGCTTGAAGGAGATCCCCTTCCCTTGGTCACTGTCCTTCAAATCATTCCAAACTATTTACTGAACACCCATTGCATGCAGGGGGTGTGGCTGTGAAGCCAGCAGGCTAAGTCTCTGCAGTGCTTACGATAACTTATGTGTCTGGGAGTGAGAGGTCACTGGAGAGTAAGAATGCAGGGAAGGCCGGGCACGGTGGCTCAAGC